GAAAAACAAGTTGTCATTCGCTTTTTTTCATCTAATCGTATTTGTATTCGCGAGGTTATTTGTCTAAATGTATTGTGACCACAAAAAAGAAACAACTTTGCAAACAAATATATTCAAATTTAAGCATATTACGTGATGAAATGGCTGCGACTAACGACTTATCATTATTTTTTTTAGAACAAGGAGTGCACAAAGCAGCTTTAGCCGCCCAATTTTTTAAATCGTCCCTAATAAGATAAAAAACATATTCTGCAAATGGTGCAACATGCATCTTGTTGCATAAGTCGCTTTTGGAAACAGGATATATTGCTAAATAAAATTTAATGTAATTTATAATCTACATCTAAGTAAAAAGTTGATGTGATACAGATTTCAGTTAAATAATGTTTGTATAACTGTTAGATTTCTACAAACTGATAAATTACCGAAAAGTTAAGTAATTTATATACAGGGTGTCCCACAAGGAAGGGCGCAAGCTTTAGACGGATAAATCTCAGGTACAAATAAGGAAAAAATTTGTACATAAATCTTATGTTAGAAATACACCGTTTTCTAAATAAGTATGTTTTCAAATTAAAAAGAAACCATTTTTTAATATTTCAAGAATGTATAATGGCAATTAACAAATTCAGTACTTATAAAACTATGGCTAGTACGAGTGCCTTTGATATAGGTGGAGTCTCCATTCATGAAGAGTAACTTTTACGCCTATTACTTTTTAAATATTTGTACCTACTTGTTTTCAGCATTATGTATTAATAAAACTACTTCTGTTAATTTTTCGTATTTTTTTAGAAGTCGGAGTTGCATAATTAGGATTGAACTTTCTAATAAGTCGATTAGGGAAAACACAATCCTGTATTCACTAATTTTGAAGTATAATAGGGTTACCTACAATACCGATTTCTGTGCCCACCTAGCAATACAGAGAACAGCTTTCAAACGGTAGTACATCGAAAGTGGACGTTATCGGATTGCAAACTTACCTGCATTCTTTTTCTTAGAAAAACAACAATTCTTCTTTGAAAATTATGATTTCCAGTTTAATTTGTATCTTCATTAAACATGAGTGTTGTATGTTTACACATTTTATATGGAAAACGGTCTTCCGGTGAAATTTGCTAAAAATTTGGGAAATTGTTCGTTTTGTACCCCTGATCAAAAGTGTCAAAATGCCCATCTTTAGGCTCTACGGCAATTTTTAGTGGCCAAAAACGGCAAAAATTCATTTTTTTAAATATTATGTTTAATGCTTGTACAGTCCCTTAAGTTTTCATTAAATTGTATGCGTGTGAGTATTTTATGTAGGAATATGTCCATGTCTAATTATTTGTGTGTACCTATATGTATTTGTGTGAGAGGGTTTTTGAATGCACAATTATACAAGATTTAATACACACCGTCTCAATATTATTTTGTGGTTTTAATAACCTTCAATGAACTCGGAACTCTCATGCAAATTTTCAAAGAGTTCCCAAGAGTTGCCAAAGAGTTGCCAAAGATTTTCCAAGAGTTGACAGTTCATAACTGAAGCGGATTTTTAGAGAAAGAATGTAAATAAAGCGAAAGAGAAGACACGCTGAATAAATTTTTGCCGTTTTTGGCCACTAAAAATTGCCGTAGAGCCTAAAGATGGGCATTTTGAACTTCGACCCCATTGACACTTTTGATCAGGGGTACAAAACGAACAATTTTCCAAATTTTTAGCAAATTTCATCGGAAGACCGTTTTCCATATAAAATGTGCGGGGTCCTTTTGTTTATTTGCTACTATTTTTGTATATCGACCGGGCTTAGCTTTTCTATTTACTCTTAGCTTTTTCTATTAACATTCATTTGAAAACATAATTCTTCCCGCAAAATAATCAAAAAGTTCAATCAGCATTACGCAATTTACTTCAAAATCTATGAAAATAATATATGAATATTTTACAATAATATTTTTTTCGGTATTTTTATTTTTTTTTTTCACCAAATAAAGAGTCATATGAGTAGAAGATACGTTTTACGAAAGGGCTTGACCCTCCATATCTGCGGTACTGACAATTGAATTGACAGTTACTAGCATTATTTTGTATCATTATGCGTCTTAAAAATAAAAAAAAAATTTTTTTTGTTCAAAAAATTTGAAGGCTCATATCTCGAAAACGATACTTTCTGGGCCAAGATTTATATAAACTTACTGTTACCTCTCAAAGTTTGTGCATTTCTTCGTGGAATACCCTGCATATACAGGGTGAGTCATTAATAATAGTATACAGCTTGATGACAGATTGTTAACGTCAAAATATAGGGATTGAGCCAAATATGCCTTAATCAATTGATGCTCCTTTTCGTTCTACAGGGTGTTAATGTTGAAAAAATATTTTCAATTTTTTGCTGTATTTTAAGTATGTATGGACCAATTGTTTTGAAAATTTGTAATTTTACGTTTTTTGTGGTGGCAAAACGAATATGCAAACAGTGTTGGGGTCTCGTATAGGGGGCGCTAGTTATACTGTCCTATCAATGTAAAAATATGTCTAACTTTTTGTATTTTACAATTAGGAATTTTTTAGCTAGAAATTATTGACCTACGTTCAATTATAAATGAAAAAGGTATACTTGTTACAAATCGATAAACTCATCCGTTTTCGAGATACAGACATTTTAAGTTTTTGAGATTCGACAGGAATTAAATTAAAAAATTATTTTTTCCAAAGTAGTAGGCATTGACATAATAAATTGGCAGCACATTATACCCGAGAAGTAAGAAAACATCTTAATAGAAATTTCCCGCACCGTTGTATCAGACGCGGTAGTAATGTACTTTGGCATGCACATAGCCCTGATTTAAATCCGCTGGATTTTTCTTTTGAGGCTAACTTAAATTTCTCGTTTACAAGGACATTATTAATAGTCAAGAATCAGTTCATATTATCAAACAACATAGATCTTTATTTAACATCAGACAAAATTTAAATAAGTGCATTGAAGTCGTGATGGTTACTTTGAGAATTTTTTATGATTAATAATATGTTACGATATGCATAATAAAATTTTCATTTGCTGTAATTTTTGTCTTAATTCTTAATTCAGGCTTGATATCTTACCTGCTAAGTATCTAATTTAATTCCTGCCGAACCTCAAAAACTTGAAATGTCCGTATCTCGAAAACGATTGAGTTTATCGATTTGTAACAAGTGTACCTTTTCCATTTATAATTGAACGTATTTCAATAATTTCTAATTAAAAAATTCAAAATGGTAAAATACAGAAGCGGCCCCCTAGACATGACCCAACACTGTTTGCATATTCGTATTTGCCACCTCAAAAAACCACAAATTTTCAAAGCAATCGGTTCATACATACTTAAAATATAGCAAAAAATCGAAAATATTTTTTCAACTTTAACACCCTGTAGAACGAAAAGAAGCAACAATTGACTAAGGCATGTTTGGCTCAATCGCTATATTTTGACGTTAACAGTCTGCCATTAAGCTGTGTACCATTATTAATTACCCACCCTGTATATTATTCAAAAAATGTTTACTGTTTAAGACAGAAACCGGATGTAAAACAATAATTTTCCAATGTTTAAATTTTGCAGAGCAATGCAATAAATCGCATTGTAAATACATTTTCCATATTTCAGCTTCAATATCGTAGAAGAGTGCCTTTATTAAAGGAAAAGATTGATGCACCAAAACTATTTTTCAAAATCTCCGTTCATTTTGGAATAAAAGTATGTTTTAAATATATATTTCAAATTTTAAAATAAGAAAAAAACTTATGCAAACATTAGTATTGTCAATTATGTCATACTGTAGTATAGTTTTTTATCCATGTTTAAGTAAATTTTCAAAAAATCGTCATCAGGTTATTCAGAACTGTCGTTGTAGATTCGTTTATAGACTAAAAATATACGACCACGTATGAGATAAAATAAATGAATTGGTCTGGTTTAGAATTGATAACCTATTTAAATATAATTTGGCAGTTTTTGTCGTCACCACCCTACTTTAGGGAGAAACCTTCTTTTTGATAAGATTTTCATTCTGTTGATATTATATTTTCTGAAATATTAGCTCTTCCTCGTTATCATTCAGCATTGTTTCCTTTTCGTATAACGCTGTACTTATCTACAATGCATTGTGTAGCCATTGTAAGCAGCAATTTACAGCTAACTTTCGTAAAAGTTTTAAAAAACATTTTCTATCTCTGGAAATATAAAATTTTTGTATAATTATATACAACATGCTCTTTTTATTAATTGTTAATACTAAATTTTATGAATCAGTAGTAAGATTTTAAATACAATTAATACAAAAACACCTGTTAGGTTGAAATTATTAAATAACTAATTATTAAGTAATTAGGTATGCAAAGTACCTACCTTATGTTGTTCTTTCATCACCCTTAACAAAGATAAGGGTAAAAAACAGATACTACAGAGAGAGAGAGTATTTGCGTAACTATAGATTTTTGGAATTAAATCAATGATTTAATTTGATAAGATTTTTCAGAAAAAAAAATGAGTTTATTTGAATTCGCTTAGTACCTACCTGTAAAATAAAGGAAAGAAACTTGAACACCTCTTGAATATGGTTTAAATTAAGAACTACCAGTATTTATTGAGTAATAAAAACTGAACCACTCTGTATAAGGAAATACTTTCTTTGCAAGTTAGAACTTTAAATTCGTAACTAACATGTTACTCCGGATATCTCTCTTTTAAAATATATGTACCAATTCTGATGTAATTGTTCTAAAATTTATTTTTATTTTTATTATTTTTATTTGATTAGAATTCCTGTAATATTGTCAAAGAAAAAGAAGCAAATAAACAAAATAGTCTGCGAACGTTTTCAATTAGGTGTCAATTCAAGGGCAAACCGATATTGGCAATAATCCTAGAGAGGATTGTTTTAATCAGGATTAGTACAAATGCCGGAACAGAAAAGTTGTTCCAAGAGCGAGCTCGTACAAGGCAAAAATAATTATGGCACCACGTAGGAACGATATACTTTATTCAAATGTTATTTACAGATAAATTTTGCTCCACCCATTCTGTTTAATTATGCAAATAAATATCAGTCTTTTCCTCTTGCACTTTTCCTTTGACTAGTGTGGAAAATTCGGATATTTGTCTTCAGCGTTAAATAGGTCGCTAGATATTAAACTAACTGGCACTGCTAAAACGACAGGATGAGAGAAGTCCTTTGGGAATCTTAAATGACCTTCAAGCCTGCCTGAAAATAAAAACATGATGCTCTCAGTTAATTCATAATGGCATAACGAAAAACTTATAAACAGTGAAATTCTATTATTTTTAAATAATACCGTAGATTTTAATAAATAAATGTTTTCTTCATATTTTCAGATCTATTTTTTACTCTTTCATTCATGCTATAACCCTAATAGTCCAGTTGGCAGAGGTTCGGCGTGTGTCAAACCTTGATAACCCGGAAATAACTACACAGGTCTACTTTAAATGATGAGTACAATAACAGGCTAATTTGCTGACAAAGTATTTTATCAGGAAAAAAAGTTATTAACAATTTAATCGTGAAAAAAATTTTTATAGTAGTTTTCTTTAAATAACTCAGCGGGATGACTTTGTACGAGAAAATGCTTAGGACATGATTTTGTTCGTAATAAAAATAGCTACAAAATGGCGGTGGTCCGATTACGAAATTTGCAATAACAAAGCCGTGAGATTGAAAAAACGGTATAAAACGTCAATTTTTTAAAGTTGCTGTAAAAATGTCAATTATAAACAAAAAGTGATAAAACTTTCAAAAACTATAATTCAATATATATTGTTGCGTTTGTGCACTGTATGAAAAAATTAAAGAAAAATAATTGCGAATGTGAAGCTGAACACTTACCCCTTATTTGCAGCAAGCATCCAACGACACCAGAATGACCAAGAAGGCACAAAATAAAAATCAAAAGCGTAAGCGAGCGGCGAATCGATCGTCTTGTGTGTACTTTTTCGAATGGAATACTTCACTCGCGGACAGGGTCTTCGGTCCATCCTCACACCTTTTTGCCGCGAGTTTTAATATTTAAAATAAAAGTGTTGCTAATTGTAAATATTATGTATAACTTAAAAACTAATTAATTGGCAGGACGCACCAACAATAATGACGCTAGATCCGAAAATCAGGAGAGCTAAACTCTTTGTTCTATAAGGTTTTATACATCCAATGTAAACAACAGTTTATTTTCTATACCAATAAAATATAAGTACTATTCATTCCCTTTATTTTATTCCGTTTGCATTTCTACTAATTGCAAGTTTTATATTTATACAAAATTATTCTAGATTCTAATATATCTCTACATTTATTCTATTTATGCTCACACTATGGTTTTTCTATTTATTAAGTCTTCAAATTTTGTATTTTTATTTATTTTTAAAATCAAATTAGTTCGTAATTTAATTTTTGCATCCTCGATAAATAAAATATAAAATACATAGATAGGTAGGTACAGAGGACGAAACTTTTATTGTATTTCAAAGGAAAAAAAATATTTTCCATTTTATTTGAAAAACGAACCATTTTCAAGTTAATATTTTTAAATAAAAAATAAGCTTCTTACGTACATTTGTGTAAATCGGGTAAAACTAGTGTTACGAATTTCGCAGAAAAGATATAACAATTTTTTTGTTGTAAATAAGGCTTTAAATACAATATCGTCATAAATCATTAAAAAACAATATTGGGGTAGAAATTTAAATCTTATAGAAGCAGTACCTACACCTAGGATAATTAAAAAAATCAACGCAACAGTTTTTTGGACTTTTGATATATTAATAAAAAATGCCTACTTATAACTTTTTTACGGTTGTTATAGGTTTATTCCACTTAAGGCTTATTTTACAATTTTGCCCGGAATAACTATACCCGACGAGTAAAATTATTATCGAACTCAAACAATTCAATTTTTTATTTTGTATGTTGCTTAAAGTAAAATCTTATTGAGAAGTTATGGAATTTGATGATTTGTCGCATAAAACATAAATGGACAACGGTTTTAAAAATAATATTTGGAAAGATAAAGGAAAAGAGATTAATGTTGTGGTAAGTAATTTTCTTTTTAAATTGCAAATTAGTGTTAATATATNCTTAGGCCGGTGTCCCATGCATCCGAAATCCGATGTACGATATCCGAAAATATTTTAATTCGTACGAATGATAATATTATAATTCACATGCATCCGAAATTAATCTCATAGAAATCAAGTATAGAACCATGGAATTTATTACAAGATGAAGATGAAACATTTTCAAATGACAACCATAAGTATATATTATAGAAAATATACGTTATATTATATTTTCTACATTCGACATTATAATATAACATTTATTTGACCGTAAATATATCAAACAACAATCATAGTATGTTAAAAACTTAAAAAGTGAGGATAAAAACATGCGATTTCGGAAAAAAGTTAAAATTATTTCTACTTTTTCCGACGTCGTATGAATTTTAAAATTTTCGGATGAAAATGAGCGGTAAAAATTTGAATGTATATTAACCAATAGAAACACTTTCACACCTTCGTATTGTCGGAATTCGGATGCATGGGACACCGGCCTTAAACAATTGTTATAATGGAATCAATAAGTTAGTAGCATTAATAAAATAAAGATATTGAATGTAAGTATTAAAATTTTGCATTTATAAATAGGTACATGTTTTTGTTAAAAACTTGTTTGCATTTATTTTTCTGGTCAATTTCTAAAATTTCGAGAGTAGCCATTACTGGGATATAAACTAAATACCGAGAACGATATAAAATGTAAGGGTATGTGACATTATTTTTTTGGCTTCAACTTACTTTCACTTTACTTTTAATACAGAATTTGAAAATCCCGAATTAGAAAACGAGAGGCACGTTACAAGATTGGCTGCGGTGTTATCTATTTCTGGTCATTAAACAAGTGACCTTTTAGATTGAGATGTTATTAGGCAATTTCATTCTGGGGCGTCTATTGATTTATATGAGAATTAGGCTACTATAGTGCAAATATTTGTTTCTGAACTAAAATTGGAAATAATAATTATTCTATACAGACATAATATATTGTAGACACTAAACCAAACAATTAAAGGGTCAAAAGAATTTCCGAAATTTTTCCGTGATTTTTGACAGACTGTATTTAAGTGAAAAATGATCGTATCGAGAATTAAAAATAGAAAATTTGAAGCTCTAAGATTCTAGTTTTTAGATCTTTCGGTCGAAAATTTTTAGGAGCTACGGTTATTATGCAATTCTAAGAAATAGCGCGACAAACAAATTTTGCAATTTTTTTATTTTTTTTCCGAGTTCACGGACTTGGAAAATTTTTTTTTTACCTAAGCCATTGCATGGACCAGATAGGTTGTCTATTCAGCTTTAATTTCCTTTTTTTTTTAATTTCGATACGACCATTATTCATCGAAATATCGGACTTTTAATGGAAAAGGATCCTTTTGTCTTCAATCATCGATATCTCGGCGACAAATAGTCGTACAGAGAATTGAAGGTCAGTTTCGAAAACTGGAATAAATTTCCTATAACATGCTGCCGCAACTTTTCGGAATTTTCTTTTTCGTCTTTTACACGAATTTAAAAAAACAGGAAAAGGGGGCAATTTATGTTTTTTTTTAGAAAATTGACGGCTGAATTAGAAATATTCACGAAACGACTAATGTTAAGCATGACTTTTACAGTTCGATATACCCAGGAGAACCCTGTGAAGTTTCATCTCGATCTAGCGAACCGTTTCTTTGTTTCAAACAGTCAAACTTTTCAAAAAAATTAAAGGGTCACGTTTTTTGAGATTAACAACAAATTTTTTTTGAGGTTTTCTCACATTTTTACCGCAAATAACTTTTAAATTGATTAAAAAAGTATATTATTTTTCGAAAAATTTTCAAAAAATTTTCGATTTTTTTTTTTGGAAAACCTTCCGGACATTGAAGAAAACAAAATCCAATTGTTTCCAGCATGATTCGGCTTTTCTGTGTTATGCTTCTGTTCATCAGCTTTTAATTAAATTAAGATTAAAGTTGATGCCCCAAACCAGATTTCGATCCCAATTCATACCGCATTTTGAGACTTTGTAATTAATTTTTGTGCAGCCTATAATCACTTAAAAAACAGTTTTTTTCAAAACTACCTTTTTTCTTCTGAAAATTGGGAAAATTTTTCGAAAAAAAATTTTTTTTCATCAATTTAAATGTTATGGTAAAAATATGAGAAACTCAAAAAATTTTTGTTTCCATTTTAATCATGATTATGAAGTGTTTAAGCTCAAAAATCGTGACCGTTGAATTTTCTTCAAAAGTTTGACTGAAACAAAGAGACGGTTCGTTAGATCGAGATGAAATTTCACAGGGTTCTCTGGGTATATCGAACTGTAAAAGTAATGTTTAACATTGGTCATTTCGTGAATATTAATTTAGCCGTCAATTTTCTAAAAAAACATAAATTATCCTTTTTTCCTGTTTTTTTTTACATTTGTGTAAAAGAAGAAAAAAAATTTCCGAAAAGTTGCGACAGCATGTTATAGGACATTTATTACAGTTTTCGAAACTGCTCTTCAATTCTCTGTACGACCATTTGTCGCCGAGATATCGATGATTGAAGACAAAAGGATCCTTTTCCATTAAAAGTCCGATATTTCGATGAATAATGGTCGTATCAAAATTTAAAAAAAGGGAAATTAAAGCTGAATAAACAACCTATCTAGTCCATGCAACGGCTTAGCTGAAAAAAATTTTCCAAGTCCGTGAACTCGAAAAAAATATAAAAATTTGTAAATATTTTTTGTCGCGCTATTAGAATTGCATGAGCTCCTAAAAATTTTCGACCGAAAGATCTAAAAACTAGAATCTTAGAGCTTCAAAATGCTTTTTTTTAATTCTCGATACCATCATTTTTCAATTAAATACAGTCTGCCAAAAATCACGGAAAAATTTCGGAAATTCTTTGCACCCTTTAATTGTTTGGTTTAGTGTATTCACCTAAAAAATTCAGGGTGTCCGGAAACTACCAGGATAATTTAATGGATAATTTCACTCATAAAGATAGTGTTACTAAGTAATTGTTGTGATACCTTTGTGAATTTTCAATATTAGTTGAATTATAAAACCACAGTTATTTTTATTATTTATTAAGATTTTGAGATGACTGTTCTCTAATTAACTGAATATTTTTCAAATTATTATTGGTTTATTAGAAATTGCGCTT